TATGATTGCGAGTAGGTGTACAAGTGCATTAGAAATGACGCTCAATCAGTAATATTTTACACGTGGGTACGATACCAGTGCGGGACTGTATACGAAAAAGCTTAGATATAGTGGCGCCGGCTGCCAGTGCCACTGAATTTCATCGGCGTTAATTAAAACGCTGGGGCTCCCCGACTTTTTTCCTCTTGCTCCGTACCAATACTACTACCCCAATATTGTTTCCTCTGGCTCGTCCAGCCCAAGGGTACTAATTGGATTGGCTACGGTGACTAGAGAAGTAGAAAAAACCAGAAAGGAGATTTGTATTATTTTTGAACTTCACATAAGTAGCACAACTGCCGGTTGTTTGGTTGTCGTGAAAAAATGTGCACACGCGTATTGTATGTACAAATACATGAATGTAATACAAAAAATGTGACTCGACACGCGGAGGAAATCTATTTTGAGTTAACGAATATTTGTACAAAATTAAGTTTCAGTCTTGAATCTTTGCTAACGAATCAGTCACTATTAATCATTTGATTGGCACATAGGTCACTTGCTTCGTTAATATTGCTCTGCGACATTCAGTGGACGAGAATTAAGTTTATAAAGTATATTTAAACCATCTTTGTGTATTACGTGAAGGGGAAGGGGAGAAAAAAACGAGAACTCGAAGGGACTGTAACGTACGCATGCCATGTGTGTTTTGTATTGTGCTTTAGTGAAAGAGGGGATTTATGTACCTATAGGTATGCTCTCATTGGCCATTAGCCCGCTCGCGTGGTCTCGACCGATTATTATATATGTTGTTTGCTCTGTCGTTTTGACATATTCAAGTGGGCGGGGAAACAATTGCTCTCGAGTACCTCGGCATTTTAGATTAGGATCGGAGATCCTTACTTTCAAGAGCTTATTGTGAGATTTTCCTTTGATGTGTAATGTGATCTATGCTTCTAATTACGCTTAAAATTCATACTGATACATGGGAATTTTTTTTTTTTTTTTTAATTAACAAGGTATTATCAACCTCAAAAAATAGATAAACAAGCGGTACAAAATCTACTGGTTCGTACTGTAGCGGTTGTTTTGAATATTTTCTGTTTTAGCTTACAAAATACACCACGTGATGAGTCAAGAGTAAAATATTGAAATAGCACGAACTAACTTGACTTGTAATAACAATGACTTTATCACAAGGGCTCATCCATAAAAAAAGTCATGGCATAAAAAATTTGCACGCGTTTCCAAAACACATTAAAAAAAAAAAAAAAAGATAAACAAGACCATATTGTGCACGTATATTATACATGGAAACGGGTTATTGTATGCATGATAAGGGAGCGCTTGCCAAATGATTATTTCCTGCTGAGCTCAGGACGGATTGTGCCATTTGGAATGACAGATGTCGAAGCAGACGAAAATCTAGCGGAGGAAATAATTCGAGAAGATAAGAGAGAGAAAGAGAAAAAAATGAATAAATTTATGTGACCCTCCTTCATTCGAAAGAAATAGTTGCTGTGATCAACCAAAGGAACGATGAAAGAGGGTAGATGGAGGATAATATCAAGAGGAAAATGGTAAAATTAAAAAGAATAAGGGAGGGAAGTAAGTACGAGCACGAGAAGTTGGAGAAAATAAAAATTATATGTGTGCCAATTAGTACCGAGAGCAGAGACGAAAAAGTTCATGGGAGGTGGGAGGGAAGTTGTTGATTATTTGTTTATTTGCACAATCGGTTTATACACCATAAAAAGCTTCAATTAAAGGATTAAGAGTGCGAGAGGAAGGAAATCGTGACCTTTGGTTAACGATCGCGTACAGCCCATTGTGCTCACGGTCCAAATAATAGGAGGGTTATTACTTTTTCCCTTTTCCTCTTTCCCTTTTCCACCAGGATTTTACCATTGGCTTATTTCACTCGAACTTTTTTCTTCCCTCCCTTTTCCCCTTCGGTGAAGCAATGCACCAAGTGGAGGCTGCGTCGCTTCTGTTATTTACTTTGCTTCTTATTTTTTATTTTTTTATTTTCATAATCTACTAATGCGCGATGTACGCCGAGCACTCGAAAAACTCCTCTCTGATCTCCTCATCCTCTTTCGTCCCTTCGTTGGTTTTTTTCGCTCGAGCAGGACTCGAGTACGCACTTTTCATTATTATTTTTTCAACTTTCGTTTTCACCTATTCTGGACCTCACATGAGTGAGTACAAGTCTGATGAAGTAATCCACGTATTTTTTTTTTTTTTTTTTACTTTTTTTAAGTTTACCTTCTGGTTGCAAGTACAATGTAGCGGGGATACCATAGAAAGTGAGGACAAGGAAGCAAATGTTTCGGGTTAATAATTGCCGATTCGAGAGCATAAATTTAGAAACTGAAGTGGAGTGGATTAACTTTGCAAAGCTTACGATGGATGCTCTCGTCGTATCACTGCACGGCTGGACATTGTGAATAATCGTCCTAGACTCCGCAGCAGCAAGGGCAAGTTATTTGCATAATTTTCGGCTACAGCTACCTCGTGAGTCTCTCCTTCTCTTGCTGTACCTCCAATTGAATATCCCAGCCACGTGATTTCACGTTAAGGCGACGATTAATGGAGCCACTCCTCTCTCTCTCTCTCTGTCCCACCATAAATAAGGTAATGCTTCAAGCTCTTTTTTTTTTATCGTTTAGCCTTGCGTAATCGGATTACAGTCTTGTCTAACGCCCCCTATCCCCGCTTCGTACTCACTCCCACTGTTCCTATCGGAGAGTGCACTATACAGTGTAGGTGTGTCTCTACTATCGGAATAGTTTTTTTCTCTTTTTTTTTTTATGCAGTAGCATAGTCAGTTTATACACAAACTTGTAGTTACGTTGAGGCTAAATATACACCCGCGTAAGTATTGGAACTGTTAATTTTTTTAGCGACACTAAAACGAATCCAACTACAATCAAATATTTGATAGAGAATATTGAAGTAATTTTTAATCGGCTCACACTAAAAGGTACATGCATAGTTGGAATAGTGGTGGCTTGGTTAATACTAGAATAATTATACATAATGAATTAAAGTGATAAAAAAAAAAAGAGAAATTATAGAGAAAAAGAAACCAAGTAGACCAACTTGTGAAAAGAATTACAATTGCCTTTACGACATAACTGCTACAATTAGACAGTTTATTACGTACAAATATATATCCCAGTCAGAAAAAAATTGATAAAAGCCAAAATTTAAGTACAAATCTTCTTTTATTTGAAGATCATGTAGAATTCAGAATTGAGAAAAAATCACACTGTAATGGAGGATCCCTTACAGTAGACTTTATTTTCGCCTCTAGGAGTAAATCAAGTTCTATCAACTAATTGTCTTGTTATACGTTTTATATACGCATAGCTTCCAGCAGATCTCCAAATTTCATTACTTTAATTGTATGAGAAATGAAAATCCAAACGCCCAACGGATGGAGGCACTCAAATCCATTTTTTACTTTACAAAGAGAAAAGTCCTTTTGTGAATTGACAAAGAGAAACGATGGTACTTGACCGCGTTTGGCTTACTACTTGATTAAACTAAAATTAGAGTATGAAAAAAAAAAAAATTGACTTTTATTCATGTTTACGAGAAACGGTAGAAAAAGAAAAAAAAAGTAATTTCATTAAAAACTTTATTAACGAATCATCAGTTTGATTAATACTTACTTGCTATTTAAACACGCATGAAAAAACTACAACCAATCACGCAGTTATAAATTTCTAGAGCGTATACCCTTCAAACTACAGGGACGAGTGATAGGGTAAACAAAGGCAGTGGAACTAAAAATAAAATTGATACCAGGGCCACGGCGACAATACAACTCCCATCGTCCTAAATCGCTGTGAAAGCCACGTTTTGTTCCCAAAGAGGGAGAACGAGATGGCGAGTAAACCGAGCATGAAACGCGCGAATTGAGGAAACAGAAAAAAAAAAAAAAAAAAAGAAGCGCGCCAAGTCGTAGAGAATCCCTGAGAACATAGCCGCAAAAACTTTATCGTTCCTTTGCTGAGACATTCCCTTTGGAAAGAGCGAGAGAAAGTCAACATTCTTTTAAGAGGACAAGAAAAAAAAGGAACCAAAAAGAGGGAAAGGTCGGAGTTAATGAGCACTTGACTGCATCGGCTTTTGAATGCAAGTAGAGCCGCATACATAATGTACGGACGCAAAATTGAAAGATTGGCGACACATTACCATGAATATATAAAAATTCTTACATCTTTATGTAATAACGTGAATATGTAAAGATTTGTATACCACTGAGATTCTTCACATGTACCCTAGATTAAAATCCTTACCATGGCTATGATTATTTATTTAAAACTTTTTAAAATGTTTCAGTAATTAATGTACGATGTATTGCAAATAATCTAAGGTAATAAGCCTGTAAAAATCTATAAACTTTTAAGCCACACTCACGTAATATCGATTCGAAAGAGAGCTTGATTGACATGGTTCAAAAATGTTTCATCTCATTTTTTTTTCCAGTAATACATTGACCATTTTTGTAGAAATAGTGCCATTTTCCAATTAAATTAGATATAAAAGTTTTTGGATCTGACTTTTTTTCATGTCACGAAACGATATAGGTATGGAGAAAATTTTTCATTAAAATGTACTTTCAGTCATAACACAGAGCCAATAGATGCTTATGCTCATGCACATAGAGAATATAATAGGAAAAACAATTCACGCCGGCGCCCACATACGAGCCATTAACTCCTCCTCCGCGGCGGCATCCAAACGAAGCAATAGCCGCTGGAGCCACTGCACGTACAGAGAAGATATCATTCGCGTCACATGTGGGACAGACGCGGTTAATAATACAAAGGCGCACGTGCTCTCTGCCTCACTGCGGCCGCATATTGCACCAATGGCCAGCAAAGGTAAAAGGAGGAGAAAAAAGCAGCAGGAGATGGGAATAAAAGTGCTCGAGGTGCAAAGGATGTGACATCAAAGAGAAAAAAAATAAAAAAAAATAAGAGAATGGAATAAGTGTAGGGAATTACCTGTCGTTAGCGCGGCGAGTACGAGTGAGGCCAGTAGTACGAGTCGCGCTTTGGTCGGACGGAGGTGCCCACACCTGCAGCCCATCAGGCACGTACCGCCGTCCTCCTCCTCCATCGTCCCACTCGTCACTCTTACACTATACTTTTCCACTCCCGCACTTCCTCATGGCCTCCCCAATTATCAACAATACAATTATTTTCTTCTCCGCGCGTAAGTCGCTTAAACTTGTAAAATCACTCGCTCGTTGTCCTTTACTTTCATGTTGATTTTTTTGTTGATCAACCGGTTGCCAATCGGTAATGACAAGTACTTTCCAACTCTTGTCACATATTCCACAGACGACACAATCACCTTAGCCCATGTATTGTTGGTCACACGGTCGCGCGCCGAACAGCAGCAGAACCGGTACTTGGAGACGAGCGCGGCAGCCGGACTAGCGCTCGAGTGTTCGGTACGGGCTTGGCCGCGGATCTAAGCGCGCCAGCTTTGCCGACACGCCACTCCCACCCACGCATGCGCTCCCACCTTCAGCAGCTGCTCTTTCGTATTATTCTCTTGTTCTTTCCTTCTCTCGACATATACTTAGCTCGGCATGCCCCATGTGTTGTATCTCTAATGTATACTTACAATTGGAGACACCACCTCTGCTGGTATGTTCTGCATATCTGTACGAGCCTACACATGCATCAGCTGAGCTGACATACCCATGTACTCATGCGAACCTGTAAATGAGAATGAATTGTCTGTGAGATTTTGGATAACGGGTAACTCGGATGTGCCAACCTTCGCGGCTTATATATTTAAACTGTGCCCCAAGAATGATTGAAAAATGTAGTGCTACGCTTCTATGTTCCTAAAACTAGACTATTTATACTCATCGTCACGCTCGTAGGATTCAAAGGTAAAGTGGCTCTCAATTTTAATTATGGCAATTTTTCAACGCCAGCACTGACACACGGCGTCAGGGTGATATACGGTGCGATGAAAATTGCCCAAAGTGAGTATCACGCAGGGGCAGTGACGACAAATGCCTTCATTAGAATCCTCATTTTTTTCCCCCGTAAGCAAACCCATAAATCTCGTGAAAGGTGCTCCCCTGCCCATTTGCCCCCTAATCCCTGGCCACGGATGCAGCGCGAGCGCGTGCCGGTTTTCTATTTTTCCAAACTATTTATTTCCTTCTCGCCAGCAGCAGTGCGTTCATCACGTTATTACATACATCCGTCTTTCCCACGCTTTTTCACATTGAATTTTTCTACTTTGGACACCCCAGCCGTTCTTGGGGCATCTTCATCTGCACCCCGCCATCACGCCTCTACCTTATTATTAACTTTCTTTAGTTGATAAAAATATATTTTACCCCATGAGTAATTCCACGCTGCTTTGGATACGTTTCACCATCATAGTGGTTGTCAGCTCTACTTACCATCGACTATGTAGGACAGCTGTACAGCATGAGAGAAAAAAAACTGTAATTTTCATGTGCCGTTTTAATTTAAAATAAAAATTTGTTTTAAAAATTTATGGTAATCAATGTTTGTTATGATTAAAGAGTTGTGAATGCTTTTCTTTTCAAACATAAAATAAAATAAAGAGTCGTGGTTTTGTGAAACATCCCAAGTTCTAGTTCCCGGAGTACGTAAACTCGAATTTTTTCCTTCACTGCTCCTGTATCCGTGGATTAAAAATGTAACATTGCAAACTGTAGTGCGCCAGTCAAAGTTTACGATGGTAAAATCGACGCGTTGATTAGTTACCTGTAGCCGCTCGTGATGGGAAACAAAGTTTCGGAAAAATGTATAATTTCGTAATGAGTCTACGCGGCTGGCTTGAAGCTTCCGTTGGATTATGGTGAATTTTGATGGCTTGAAGAAGTTTTACTTGTAAAGGGAAACGGAGCAAGTTACAAGTAACGGAAGCGTATGGAAGCAAAAGAGTTCATTATCTCTGTCTCGCGCGCCAAACTGTTTATAATTTTCTATTTTCTGCCCGGAATTTGAAATTCGTGGGAAGTAATTAAACTATGCGTGAGGGAAAATTTACTTTTTGGATTATTACCCCGGACAAGAGTAACAAGCTTTTTAAAAGTAAAGGGAGTTATTTGAACATGAGAGTACTCTTTATTTATTCAACGTCCTTGTGAAAAAAAAAAAAGCTTTCGAAGGTTGAGTAAATTTTCAATTAAAATTTTTGCTGGAAAAATGTGGGATTAAAATTAAAATAATGATGCTACTGAAGTTCAAGTGGGCGCTATAGTTTGCGAGCTAATTAAAATAAAAGTTACGGTGGCAAGACAGATGGTCGTAAAAGGGCAGAAGTTGCATGACCGAAGGCATCGTACCAAGTCGGATCGAGAAAAGACGGTACATAGCAGTCGGTGAGCTGAAAAAAGTGAGGTCGTATAAAATATGGATACCAATAGCAAATAAAAAGTTGAGCGAAGCACCTTCACTTGATGTATTCGCAACTCGGGGGGGCGTCCCCTCGCACACCTCGTCACACTATACTTTTATCTCCGCGCTATACGATCCGCGTTTACTTTATCTCTTTTAGTCTCTATCGATAATGTACATCACCGTCGCCATCACGTCCTTCCACTTGTCCCTTCCATCCCTACACCTACAGGCGACTACCACTACTGTCACTCTTACCTATCCAATTTTTTCCTTCACATGCGATGTACTTCTGTGGCTCGCGTTGTTTTGTGTACACTATAGTTTTTCACGTGCCCACAGATACGGGCGAGTGACGGAGATATGCGTAGGTGGAGCGTCTCCCTACGCCCCCCTCGTTTTCCCGACTCGATGGTGGTACGCGTAAACTGAAAAGTCCTGTACAGCGGCACGAATCCACTAATGGACTGCAGCCTCGCCCGAGATCGCATTTCTCGTTACCCTCGTTCTCTATTATCTTGTACTTCTCTCTCTTTTTATCTTTTTTTGCGTTGTACAGGTGCGCTGCTTCAATATTTTCTCCTGATGTCCTCTTTGCATCCACATTATACACCTGCACGGATCAGTAATTTATTAAAATACGGATATTCGTCTCTTGTCTCTGTCGCGCCTGTGTTGTGTTTTTCTTTTCTACTGACTCATCGTCACGTTATCGCGAGACTCTAGATATTTATGGACATGAATATTTTTTTATCCTTTTAATTGCAATGAATATCACCACGCAAATAACTCTGGTCTTTCATGTCATGGCTTAGTTGATAAAAAATAAAATAAAGTAAATGCATGGTGAAATAATGAAAATAAAATCAAACAACTCCAGCATTCAAGAATCCAATGGGAGTTTCCAAGGACGCAAAGACTTAAAGCTCGAAAACACTGTTTCATCTCGTAGCTGGACGATGTAATAAAAATGGTATTAAAAAAAGCCTTGGATGATATTTTGCCACTTGAGCTTCTCAAGCTCTCTCACCCGTTTTTACTTATAGTCAAACATCGATTCCATATTATGTCCTATACAGCCGTAACCTTACGCGCTAAGAGGACAGGTGAACGGAGGTACGGAGAGGCAAGAGGGAAGAGAAACAGAGACACTTGATTCACTGACGAATTTATGAAGTCTAGAATAGAGATAGAGAGGGGTGGTATCGACCAGATTATTGTATCATTGATCAGGCCAGATGCACGTATAGATTGTGAATAAAGGCTACAGTTTGCCAAGCTCAACCCCACACCTCTTCATCCTTCGCGAGCTTATGTATACTCGTTACGTAACTAACTGCACCAGTACAGTGTCGGCACACACGGTGGTGATGCAAGCACCATATATATATATAAACGGAGGACGGACCCTATCGAAGCGCATTAGTATCACGTCTGGTCTATGGCCGACTCACCCATCGGATATGGCTCACCTTTGCCTCCCTTTCTCCGTTTACGTGTACGCGAGCTTGCGTAGGTCGGCAAATACCGTAGGAGAATCTCGCACACGGGTCCAATCGCACCCACCTCCCGTTTATCCCTCGCTCTCATCATCTTCCTCTTCCACCTTCTTCTCTCTCCTTCGGCTCAGCCGGGAACTTGCTCCTCCGACGTATAAATTATAATCCGCTGAAATCCCGGGTTCCATCTCCGCTGGGTTAATAACGCGAACAATCGCCTGGGTCCCATTGTTCAGCTGGAATATCGTATCTAATGGGATCCATCTTTATCACGTATAATCGCCCGAAAATTGTTATCGCTACGAGTGCCGAGTTATGCCGAGTTATCATTGCTGCAGCTTTGTGTTCGTCCGTCCAACCAGAGTTACTTGCTCGGTTTCTACCAGCTACACGGCTCCACCTATCCATCGCGAGTTCGTATTTGTTGCAAAGGACTCCTGGATTTTTTTTTTTTTTTTTTTTCACAGGAGCATACAAAAGCTTTTTATACATTTACTTACAGATATTTTAAAGTAATCGTTTCATTGCGTTAGAAAATAGGGGAGGAGGATATTCATTAACCAGTCGATGGATCACAATTACAGTCACATGCAGCAGCTCCAACTCATCACTTCAAATGCATGCGTGGAGTGGTATAATAGAATTTTGGTCGTCGTTGTCACAGTCATTATCGACATGAGCGGAATTTCATATGATCTTCCTTCGATCGGCTAACACGTACCTAACCATGTGATAGATAGTTGTGTGGTACGAGGCGCGTGTGCGAACGAGGATTCAAAATTCACGGTATCGGGTATCCTCGAAAATTTGAATGATAATTGGTTGAAATGAAAATAAAGTTTTCAAGATTTTTTAAAATATCAGTCCCGTACGCCGCAATCTTAACTAATGGTACACATCCCGGTAATGTTGTCTGACACGGGCTCCAAATGCACGAGCACTTTACTAGTGCTGATGTATTCCTCACAAAAAATTACTCCATTCCTCGTGGCAACCACTTTTTTCGGGGTCCGTTGTACTTCCAGCGTGCATATAGTTTCCCAGGGGAAATTTTAGAGTCCTTGCGGTCCTTTACGTCTTGTCCTCTGTCTTTCTCTTGCTATCTCATACCCGTGTCTCCTTCTTTCCTCTACTGGGATGCCTATACATGGTTTTTGCTTCTCGTACTTCTTGGTCCGGCTGACGTTCATTTTCGCGGTAGTGCGTTATTGCATTGAAAAAAAAGAAGGGATATAACGAAGAGGAGACATAAAGCCAGAAAAAAAAGGACACTGTCAAAATATGTATAAATTCAGTAATTTTGCAGTCAGTGACTTGTGAACTTTGTCTCACACAGCAAGTGATTAAGATGGTGTACGCTGATTTTAAGTTAAAAACCATATACATTCGAAAATTTCAAGCCATCTTGGTATTCATCTCTGTTTCATGGTGCAGTATCTTTCCCACTGATGTTCCCGACTCTTCGATGTCTTGAGCTTTCATCCTCTCGTTGCACGCAGATATACATATACTTGCGCCAGCCGCTTTCTTACCC